TTACAGAGCAGAGGCGTAGCGACCCTTCCCAGCGCCCGGGGACAAACTTTCAATTTGGCGCCCCCCTTGGGAGCAAATTTACAATTATTTGTACCCCCCCCCCCCCTCAAACTTTCGATTTGCATCCCCACCCCCCCGTCAAACTGAAAAAAAATCCAGCTAAAATGACATTTTAAATTGTTTTTAACAACCCCATTTTGGCGCCCCCTAAGATCGGCGCCCGGGAACATATGTCCCCCCCCCTGCCTCCACCCCACCCCCCCCCCCCCCCCCCCCCCCCCACATCGCTACGCCTCTGTTACAGAGGGAGATAACTGTCACAGCAAGTTCACGAGAAAGTTACTATTAAAGTGCGGCAGACTTCGTCAGAAAAAAAAAAATTAAATATATATTTCTATGCCTGAATATTGAAGAAGTGAATATCGTTGGGATAATTGTTCGAATGGTTATCGAAGTAGTAGACAAAATATTAAAAATAAAATATTTGTCAAAATTTATTCAAATTTAAAAAAAAATATTAATTACACCGCTAAACATGGACACAGATTGCTTTTTAATAATCTGAAATATTAAACAATTTAATCAATAAAAGCATCAAAAACATGTCAAGATTTGATGACACTGAAATCTCATGCAGTTTCAACACGTAGCAAAGAACAGCAAGCAACACTGAAAACAAGGGACGTTACCATGAAAATACTCGTTTGACCGAGCCAGTAGGAGTTGCTGGCCGCGGATTGGTCTCGAGAATGCTTTCAAGATGCTCTAAGATGTCTGAGGTTAGTTTAGGAACGAACTGAAAATTTCGGATGCAGTTAGTCAAAAAATCGTCCTCTGTCTATGATTGAGTTACCGTAAGCCTTTGTTTTAAAAAGTAAATGCTAAACTAAATGTGTGATTTAAAAAAAGCAAGCTATGAATATGCCAAGTGACTTCTAGGGTTACACATATGCTGCATTAATAAAATTTACATCAATTTACAAAATTAAATTGGGTTTTTGTAAAAAAAAAAAAAAAGCACAATTAAATCTTATATACTGAAAAGTTTATATGATAATATGTTGATTTAGAATCCTGCCAATACAATTTTTAAGTGTCAGTATTTAAAAAAGAATTATACTTCGTTTAGAGATTTTAATTAATACATTTTTAAATACTTTGAGAAAACTGTTGATAGAATCAAATTGTTATAGACTGTCTAGAGCGGTGGTTCTTAACCAGGGGTTCGTTGAGTCTGTCTCAGGTGTTCGGTGAGTATAGCCCCATGTTAAGAACCACTGGCCTAAAGGGAGGTTTAGACAGTAGGTTGGGTGTCGGCTGGTGAGGTTTAGACAGTAGGTTGGGTGTCTGCTGGTGAGGTTTAGACAGTAGGTTGGGTGTCTGCTGGTGAGGTTTAGACAGTAGGTTGTGTGTCAGCTAGTTAGGTTTAGACAGTAGGTTGTGCGTCGACTAGGAGGTTTAGACAGTAGGTTGTGTGTCGACTGGTGAGGTTTAGACAGTAGGTTGTGTGTCGACTGGAATTTTTAGACAGTAGGTTGTGTGTCAGCTGGTGAGATTTAGACAGTAGGTTGTGTGTCAGCTGGTGAGATTTAGACAGTAGGTTGTGTGTCATCTGGTTAGGTTTAGACAGTAGGTTGTGTGTCGGCTGGAAGGTTTAGACAGTAGGTTGTGTGTCGGCTGGTGATGTTTAGACAGTAGGTTGGGTGTCGACTAGGAGGTTTAGACAGTAGGTTGTGTGTCGACTGGTGAGGTTTAGACAGTAGGTTGGGTGTCGACTGGTGAGGTTTAGACAGTAGGTTTAGACAGTAGGTTGTGTGTCGGCTGGTGAGGTTTAGACAGTAGGTTGTGTGTCGGCTGGTGAGGTTTAGACAGTAGGTTGTGTGTCGGCTGCTGAGGTTTAGACAGTAGGTTTAGACAGTAGGTTGTGTGTCGACTGAAAGGTTTAGACAGGTTGTGTGTTAGCTAGTGAGGTTTAGACAGTAGGTTGGGTGTCGACTGGTGAGGTTTAGACAGTAGGTTTAGACAGTAGGTTGTGTGTCGGCTAGTGAGGTTTAGACAGTAGGTTGTGTGTCGACTGGACGCTGGTCACCCACCTGCAATGCCTGGATGTCCTCACACAGCTGGTCAACGGTTGACGCCCCCAGCAGAACCTGACTGATGTTCTCGTTCTTCACGCACCAGGCTGGGGAGATATGACGTCATTCGGGGGTCACATGTGACGTCAGTTACAGAACATGGATGACGTCAGTGGCGAAACAAAAATATCGTCCAGTAAAATACAAAGATGTCAACTATAGGGCTGGTAAGTAGGTCACCAACCAGTTCTAGGGCTCAATAAAAATCTGCATGAGCCATAGCACTGGGGTTGGTGACCTACTTACCAGCCCTATAGGTCTAAGACGACGTCAGTTATTGAACGAAGAAAACGTCAATTCTAAAACAAAGGTAAAGTCGATTTTATAACTAAAGTCGATTTTATAACAAAGGTTACGTCTTTGAAAAAAATAACGTCGATTAAAGTACAAAGCTGTCAGCAACAGAACAAAGGTAACGACAATTCTAGAAGAAAGAGGACGTCAGTTATAAGCTAACCCACGACCTATCCTGACTGACCTATGGCTAGCTGGGCGAGAGAACAGCCCAACTGGTCAGCTATGACGGCAATGTCCCTGAGTTTGGCTTGCTGTCTCCTCCCCTCCTCACTGAGGATCTTCTCGCGTAGCCAGTTGTAGCCCTGGGGAAACACATGGCTCGTATATTTAGTGGGCCAAGTGGCTCATAATCACACATTTAGTGGGCCAAGTGGCTCATAATCACACATTTAGTGGGCCAAGTGGCTCATTATCACACATTTAGTGGGCCAAGTGGCTCATAATCACACATTTAGTGGGCCAAGTGGCTCATTATCACACATTTAGTGGGCCAAGTGGCTCATTATCACACATTTAGTGGGCCAAGTGGCTCATTATCACACATTTAGTGGGCCTAGTGGCTCATTATCACATATTTAGTGGGCCTAGTGGCTCATTATCACACATTTAGTGGGCCTAGTGGCTCATAAACACACATTTAGTCGGCCAAGTATATATATATATATATATATATATATATATATATATATATATATATATATATATATATATATATATATATATATATATATATATATATATATATATATATATATTTGAACGGAGAATGGAGAGGGAGAAGGGTTATGCTATAACGCAGGAACTATAGACTCCTAAAAAGAGCACACAAAAAACGAAATTAACTGATGCAATGTTGGGGATGTAATGTTATATGATGTTACTGTTAAATTAATAAGTTTTGCTAAGAAAAAAACAACATATATAATTAATTCTGTACTCACTCAATGATAAAAATAATTATGCATTTACAATATCTAAATCTTTTAATCAGTATCAAGTCTTATTTTTAGCCTAGACTCACATGACCTTGGCCTACGTAAAGAAAGACGTGACCCTGACCTTGAGCGCTGCACGCGAGTAGATTGGTATGCCGTCGTCGTATTTGCCGGACAGGATCCCGCAGGCCAGGGGAGACCACGTGATGGTGCCCACACCTGCAGAGTAGGTCACGTGACACATTTCAAAATGGCGTCGTGGGGGTGTGTGAGTGGCGTGAGTGTCAACACTCAAGTACTTGTGTGATCGTGTTCACACACCACACAACCACACACCCACACAACTGCAACTTGTGTGATGTTGTTCATACAAACACACCCCCCACACAACCACACACAACCACACAACTGCAACGTGTGTATTCGTGTTACACGCTCAAGTTGTGTCACAATGTCAGAATGTCTGTTTGTCTGATGGTTTGTGATCGAAATCTCAATTATGCTCGATTTCTAATGGGGCGACTTCTTTCAAACTTCCCAGGTAAATTCAATAACAAAAAGGGAGAGAACAAATTGATATCGATCAGTTAGGTGAACTGGTGTTGACGTCAAAAGGGCAGACAATATTCAAATAGTGCTATTTATAAGGTAATCCTATAACATATAATTGTAATATATTAGTATTCATAGTCTTCCATTCTCGTGGTTCTATATTCAAAGCCTACCAAACAAATGGTTCTCTATTTATAGCGAACCAATAACGTATTACTTTAATTATAGCCAACGAATCATATGTTCTCTATTTATAGCTTATCAATGAGACGGGTCTCTCTTTATAGCCTACTTATCACGTGTTACTCTATTTATAGCCAACCAACCATATGTTCTCTATTTATAGCCTACCAATCACATGTTGCTCTATTTATAGCCAAACCAACCATATGTTCTCTATTTATAGCCTACTAATGGCACGGGTCTCTATTTATAGCCAACCAATCAAGTGTTACTCTATTTATAGCCAAACCAATCATATGTTCTCTATTTATAGCCAACCAATCACGTGTTACTCTATTTATAGCCAACCAATTACTGTTACTCTATTTATAGCCAACCAATCATGTTACTCTATTTAAAGCCAACCAATCACGTGTTACTTTATTTATAGCCTACCAATCTTATGGTACATCTCTGGCATCTGCATCTCGACTTTCTCCCGCTGGAAGTAGTGGTACTCTGCTTGCTCTGCGATGGGTGGGATCAGGTTGAACTGTCTCGCTACAGAGTAGGACTCCTGGGGGTGTAGACATACGAGGGGTGAGGTTTAGGGGTGAGACTACGTGAACGTAGACAGACGAGGGGTGAGTTTTATGGGTGGGACATTCGAGGGGTGAGGTTTAGGGGTGTAACTATGTGAACGTAGACAGACGAGGGGTGAGATTTAGGGGTGAGATTTAAGGCAGACATAAGTTGTTTAGTTATGATTTAGCACTTTGCGGGCAGACAAGACTTGACAAGAATTTTAAAGTTATATTTCAAATAAGAACGTACCTAATCGAGTAACTACAGGGAAGGGAGGCTACTCACAAAGAACCCAATAAGGAATTTCTGGCAATTTAGTCCATTGTCAAAATGCTGTATTACGTTGTTGTCAGTATGTTGTAAGTTATGTTGTTTTCAGTATGTTGTATGTATGCTTTTGTTAGTACGTACTTGTCAATAATTTCTGTCCACTATGTTCGTCATCATCTTGTTAAAAAATATTGTATGTTTATTATTGCAGAATCCATCCCACTTTTCCTATACACATTGACCTTTGCTATTACCATGACCTTGACCCAGGCTATTATCATTACCTTGACCCAGACTATTACCATGACATTGACCCAAGCTATTATCGTGACCTTGACCCAGGCTATTGCGGTGACCTTGACCCGGGTTATCACCATTACCCTTACCCAGGGTATTACCATGACACTGACCCATGTTATCACCATGACCCTGACCCAGGGTATTACCATGACATTGACCCATGTTATCACCATGAACCTGACCCATGTTATCACCATGACCCTGACCCCAGGTATTACCATGACCTTGACCCAAACACTTACCATGATCTCCATTGTTGACCACCGTGAGGTGCCCCAGTACATGGCCCACCCCTGGTTGATCACAAAGGTCATTGCCCTGACGATTTCTGGAAAGAAGGGAGATTACTCACAATATATCGTCTGAGTACTGTAAACCAGTAGCGTAGCGAAGGGGGGGCGGGGGGACATATGTCCCCGGGCGCCGACCTTAGGGGGCGCTAAAATAGGTTAGAAAAATAAATTGAAAGGTTGAAGGGGGGGGGGGGGTGCAAATCGAAATCTTGAGGGGGGTGCAAATCGAAAGTTTGAGGGGGGGGGGGGGTGCAAATCGAAAAGTTTGTCCCCGGGAAGGGTCGCTATACGCCTCTGCTGTAAACACAATACTCAACATTATTTTAACAAACATTATGTGGTGCTGTGAGTTAGACAATTCTAATATGCTGTAAGTCACACTAAAGTATTTTTAATTGCGAAAAATAATAACTTTTTGATCCAGGATTGAAAGCTACCAGCGGTCAGATAATGTCTAGATCTTCTGACGTCTAGACATGAATTTGAAAGTTATCTAGACCATCTGATATTAAGAGATTATCCGACAACAGGAAGTTGTCTAGACTATCTAGCGACAGGAAGTTGTCTAGACCATCTAGCGACAGGAAGTTCTCTAAACCATCTAGCGACAGGAAGTTGTCTAGACGACAGGAAGTTGTCTAGACTTGGACTGGAGGCATGTGTGTCTTACCTTCCATAGGGACGTGAGAGTCCGACTTGTTGGCAAACACAATGTGTGTCTTACCTTCCATAGGGACGTGAGAGTCCGACTTGTTGGCAAACACAATGTCCACGTAGTCCAGCTGTAGGCGGGTCAGTGAGGCCTTGATACCTGAAGTGTACAGGTCAGGTGTACAGGTGAGGTGTACAGGTGAAACTATGACATGTGGACAGGTAAAACAAGTACTAGCAAAAAGTAAAAACGTTGTGTCAGGCAAAAAAACTAGAGTTTACCTTTGTTAGATCTAGGAAGTGGCGAGTATGAGGTAGTGGAGAGTATGAGGTGGTACTTACCTTCTATGATGTGTTTTCTAGACAATCCTTTCTCTGTCTCGGCCCTGTTGACAAGAGGAGAAGGAAATTGATGAGGAAACTGTAGTTGGTTACAGTGTTTCTTTCAGACAGTTACAAACCTCCCCAGTTAAACCTATAAACCTCCCCAGTCAAACCTCTAAACCTCCCCAGTTTAACCTATAAACCTCCCCAGCTGACTTACTTGCCACCCCAGTAGATCTTGGTCGAGATGATGTAGCTGGATCTTCTGTAACAGAAAATTGGATGAAGCAACATTTGAGATGGGTGGCGCTTAACACATTTTGGTTTATCTAAACACATTTTTTTCTGGCATGTTGTAACATTCGAGATGCTTGGCGCTTAACACATTTTGGTTTATCTAAACACATTTTTTTCTGGCATGTCGCAACATTCGAGATGGGTGGCGCTTAACACATTTTGGTTTTTCTAAACACATTTTTTTTCTGGCATGTTCAATTATCGCATTGCCGCCGAAAGGAAAACATCTTTAGCTGATGGTGTATATGGGCAACTTCTTGTCTCGGCCGTAGTTTATCTACAAATCAAGATTTAGATCTTAACCTCAGCGTGTCTTAACAATGGAATAACAAATGTCGTCCAAACAGTAGTTGCAAGTTGTATGTGTACGAGCCAGGATGCTGTATCGTATGCCATCGTCACATCCTGTCATGCCGGGCCTGGTCATGTGACCCGGATGATGACACTAGGAATATGGGATATCTATGGGGTCAACTAGGGACTGGGGTGGGTTTTGGGACCGGTCAAGCAAAACTTCTCTTCTTCTTCCAGCAATCAAAACTGACACACACCTGAGAGGGTCAGCGTGGTTGCCATGGCAACTGGCTGAAAGGTTTAAAGCTACACCAACTCTCCACTCCACATCACTCAACTCACGACCATCTTGTCGTCCACGGGTGTCACGTGATCGATTGTTTACGCACCAGTGACTTACCGCCATTGTTTTTTCTTGAGGATTTTTCCAAGGACGAGTTCAGCTCTGGGGAGATAGAGAAATTAGTGGATGGATTGGTGGATACATGGTGTACATGGTGGATACATGGTTAAATTGATGGATAAACTGATGGATTGGTGGATACATGGTTAAATTTGTGGATAAATTGATGCATGGGTATTTTGGTGGATGAATATACGGGCTGGTGAAATTATGGATAGGTCGGTGGATAAATGATAAATTTGTGGATAATGAATAATTCCACATTGAAACTGAGATAGACTACCTTACCAAGACTGAGATAAAACTGAGATAGACTACCTCACAAAGCCATAAATGATAGTGACTATCGCATCGATAACGAGATAAAACTGGACTAAAAAGAATACTTCCCCATAAATGAGATAATACTGAGGTAGACGGTGAAACCTAACACCACCCCCCCCCCCCCCCCACAGGCTATAAGAAACTGAAGTTGCCACACGGCTTTAGCAACTGGCCGTACAATTCAAGCAATAAAGTAAACCCCTGGCGGATGTGTGTGTGTGGGCGGGGGGGGGGGGTGTTTACAGCACACCTGCGTGTGACGCCACCCTGAGATATCTCACCTGGGCTATGTTTATAATCAGCGCCATCTACATCCTTAAGGGAAGGGGGGCGGGAGGCTGGTGTTTTGTAAATGTGATTGGTGATCTTGAAAGACATAAGGGCAGTTTTTTTTCTGTTAGTTGAGTGTACAATGTGAGAAAAGGGGAAACAATCTTGGTGGTAGACAAAGGGAGAGTATTGATACATTTTAAAATAGGAGGGATAAACAATGCAAGGGGCAAGAGAAGTACGACAAGACAACGGACGAGTTGTCCATAGAGTACAGCTTGGTAGAATGGGGGAAGGGGGGGGGGGCATCAATTTTGTGTTGATTTAATACCTGGGAGTGGGGGTTGATTATAAAACCTAGCATGTAAAATATTTAGTGTTAAGCGAATTCATTTTTTTTTAAATGTTCATTCTTGCGAGAATAAAGTTAACATGTGTCAAAACTTAGTGAGTGTATTTTGTAGGGGATTAGCTCTTGTGATCATGATTCTTTTTGTTCCGGGTGACGGGTTTTGAAAGTCTGCTAAAGTATGTGGTCATTTGATGAGCTGTTTTATGAAAAATTAAATATAAATGACTTGTTCAGAAATTAGATAAGCGTTGGGTTAGAATTGTATGATATATGTTACACATGAAACCTACGAAATATGACACATGACATATATAACATATGACAAATGTGACATATTATACATGTTACATATGACACATGTGATACATGACACATGTGATATGAAACATGTGACATAATATCAGGCAAACGCTTATTTAAAAATCAATGAGACGCGTGCCATGTTTAAAATGGCATGTGTGTCATTGTTCCTGCTGTCAGTGACACCACACACTGTCAGTGACACCTGCTGTCAGTGACACCAAACACTGTCAGTAGCTGTGTCAGACATACTTGCCAGCCGAGTAAACCTCCGCCGTGTCGAAGAAGTTGATGCCACGCTCATAGGCCACGGTGAGAAGTTCCTCCGCCACCTGCGAACGTGAGAAAATAGTTCCAGTAGAGTCACGTGATCGCCTTGGAAACGAGGTAGCCAGAATGTAAACAATGGATTTTTCGTTTAGTGTGAAGTTAAATCAAGACGGCTTTTAAAAAATCTGAGGTGGTAACAGGCTAATTTTGTCAGGTTCGTTTCTTGAATACATATGTAGTGGGGCTGAGATTTTTTCAGTAAACGATTCTAGGCGCCAAAAGTTTTGTCACACCCCACTGTTCTTAGACCATTACATCTGTCAGATTCACACACAAACGTCAACGCCTTTGCCTATCTACATGTCTAACCATATATGTGTTTATGTCTACGCATAAGTCTATAACACTGAGTATCTGGAGCTACTACTACTATTGTAACATGCCCCCGAGATAAAAACCAAGCTTCATATACTCACCTCAAGTGGGTTTAAAATATTCAAGTGGAAACTAAACCCCAATAGCTTTAGGAAAAAAATAATTCTAAAACAGTATCGATTAGTGTACTGCTTCAGTTGCCTAAGCCTTTGATAATCGCTATACTGAACTGTTGTTAAAATGTGTAGAAGTACATATATATATATATATATATATATATATATATATATATATATATATATATATATATATATATATATATATATATATATATGCATGCTTTAAAACCAAATATGGTTTAGTGCATTCATGTATGTTTGACAAATATGGGGCAGAAAATCATCTGGGTGGTCACACTTGATGTCTCTACGATTTGCTGATGTAACTCACAGACTACAACATCTCGATGTCATTTATAGGGCTGGTAAGTAGATCACCAACCCGTTCTACGGCTCAATAAAACCTGCATGAGCCATAGAACTGGTTGGTGACCTACTTACCAGCCCTATAGAGACTATTCATAACTACTATTAGGAAAGAGGAATAATATAGCTGTCAGCTAGCAACATAGTATTTAGCAAGCAGAAAAATATAGATGTCGGCTAGCAATATAATATTTGGTAGGCAGAATTATATAGCGGTCATCTAGCTACATAATAGCAGGCAGAACGATATAGCTGTCATCTAGCTATAGAATATTATAAAGTCAATATAATATATCTGTCAGCTAGCTATTTGACTTCATTAATTAGCTTACAGCTATATCATGATATCAAGCCACATTGGAGGGCGATATATTGGTTTTGTCTGACCTTTAATAGCCGGGAGGGACGGGGGGGGGGGGGTTGGGGTATCAATAAATGATGACGTGCTCACCTCGTCGGTAACTTGACCTCCAAAGGTCACCCAGGTTCCTGTGGAGGGGATGTAAATAATTGATCAAACAAGCTTAAAAAATAATGGTAAAGATAACGACACGGTAGGTGACGGGTTCATTAAGGGTACAAGTAATAATGGTACAGATAATGACACGGTAGGTGGCGGGTTCATTAAGGGTACAAGTAATAATGGTACAGATAATGACACGGTAGGTGACGGGTTCATTAAGGGTACAAGTAATAATGGTACAGATAATGACACGGTAGGTGGCGGGTTCATTAAGGGTACAAGTAATAATGGTACAGATAATGACACGGTAGGTGACGGGTTATTAAGGGTACGGTGGTACTAGTTGAGACCCGTTGACACGGTTTAGAAAGGTTTACTTCCTTACGGTTTTGTCTGCTATTGTTTCTTTTATTAGTTTTTTCCAAACATATTCAGCTGACCGGGACACTAAGGTCTGTATGAGCACTCAACAATCAGGATCATTTTCCTACACCAAACTTCATGTATACAATCACATTCGTTATTTCTATACCAATGTTCTGCACAAACCTTCATGTATACAACCACACACGTTCGTTCTATACCGATGTTCTGCACAAACCTCCAAGTATACAACCACACACGTTATTTCTATACCGATGTTCTGCACCAAACTTCATGTATACAACCACACACTTTATTTCTATACCAATGTTCTGCACAAACCTTCATGTATACAACCACACACTTTATTTCTATACCAATGTTCTGCACAAACCTTCATGTATACAACCACACACGTTAGTTCTATACAGATGTTCTGTTTATACTGTCACCGAACACAATTTAAATTACACAATTTTTAAATATTATAACGTGTACAGCGACCCGCTATGTCCAACATATGTAAATCTGTAAATGTGTTAAAGATTGCTTTACAGACGAGTCAGCTATTGAACCAGAACAGTTCAAGTCTGTTGAGGGACGATGGATGATTAAACCAACAGTGTGGTTGAATGCTAAGCTGGTGCTGATTTTATTTTTATTGATCGCAAAAAGTGGTTGCTTCAGTTGGCTGCTTTTCGCAGATTAAATTGAGTTTAAAAATAAAATGTTTCCCAAAACGTCGATGACAGTGAGGGGAAAGGGAGGTGGGCTGAAATCTTCAGCAGACGTTGGTCCTGATGTAACTAGCAGAAATCTATAGAGGTCGTTGATCAAATTGTAACTAAAGTGAAAATAATGGAAATCGATGCAATGACACCACATACTAGAGATAGAGATTGGTGGTGTATGTGTGTGGTGGGGGGGGGGGAAGCTACCCTTTACGCCCCCCCACCCTCCGCGTGAGCCGTATCAATACGTGTACGTCTGTTTTTCTAGGCGTTTCCCAAACCTCGCAACAAATTCGATTTATCAACCTCTTCTTTTGATCCAACTGGAGATCAATAACTGATCGCCTTGATGAAGGACCTATAGAATCACATATAAGTGCTTTTCGATTGATTAACGATCTCATCATATAAATATGTAAAAAAAAATTTTACGGAATAAAAATCGATTAAAATTTCTTTCATCTGTTTTACAATATTAGATGAAGACTACACATGTCAGAGCGCTTGTTAGTAGGAGCAAAGATCAACAATGGAACGCCCGTGCGATTTTGGCTTGTAGCACAGAACATTTATCTGGTAACCTCACCGTTCTATACGGGCCGATCTTTTATTTACAAGCTTATGTTTTCCTTGGAGAGGAGTTTAGGAGATTGTTTTACTGTCACCTCATTGGTTTACGTTAGCACGTGCGCAACTAGGTCAAACTTCGATCTTAAAAAAAAAAAAACTTGAAGCTCCAGGCTAATAAAACGAGCTGAGAACGGAAGAAAAATGTCCGCGGATATATATGGCAAGTTTCTTTTTTGAGCTGAAACAGATACTTGTCATTTGATGTTTGGATGGAGTTGAGACACCCTAGTGTAACATCCACAGTTCAGCAAATTTAAATGATTGGAGATTAAACATGGACGCTAATTCTGTCGTTGATGATTTCATCAACGAATTTTACTGATAAAATGTAACAAATTTATAGTCAACCTAATTAGATTATCGATGAAATATAACACATTTAACAAATTAAAAAGACGGTCAATGGGGCAAGTGAAGTAGAGTTCACCTTTTTCTGTGACCTCGGCATATGAATGGATAGTGTGGTCAGCACTATGCCCAACCGTCTTTACTTTCCCTAACTACTGGCTTGAAATCGGATTCGAACTCGAGACTTAGGGGTTATCAGTCTAGCTCTCTACCACTAGGCCATTTCGTCCCCTATAACACATTTATAGTCACCAAATTATTTTATTGATGAAATAAAATAAATTTATATGCGTCAATACATTTTACTGATGAAATATAAAAAAAATTCAGTCGCCAATATACTTTACTAATGAGATATATATATAACATTTTTAGTGACCAACATATTTTCCTGACCAAAGCTAACAGACACTGACATATTCTACTCACCAAATCCAATGTTGGATACTCGTAGACCCGACTTGCCAAGATTCCTGTCGAGGTAAATAAAAATGGGCGTTTTATTTTTACGTGAATGTTAAGTCAGCGTCGATTTAACAACGCCCTGTCTTATAGGCTGTCCTACTCGTACCCCACCGCCAGCTTTCTAAACAGTGACTCTAAATAATTATTGTGTCTAAATTGGCGCCTGACATCCACATTATTTTTTAACACCCATCGTAGGTCCTTAAATGAATGAATAATGAGATCAGGTAAAGTGAATTTCGCTCAGGTAAATACTCATCACGGCAATTTGTTACATTTTTTGACCTCTCATTATAGTTTTTATGTCAATACCGAATTTTATGTCTATGTATTACGCTGTGTTTACGCAATGTGTTTATTGTAGACATTTCTCACCGGAAAGACGGGGGGAGGGGGGGGGGCGCTAGAAAAAATTTCGTTCTGGGAGGGTGGGGGTGGGGGGAGGCAGACAAAGTATATATTTTCTATATGATTTATATATTTTATATTTCATTCGTGGGGGGGGGGGGGGAAGTCGTGCTCCAAAGGGGCAGTTGCCCCCTTAGGAGCCTGGCCTGGGATAAAACTCTGATTGTTTCCTAAACTAAAGTTACAGATCCATGATAAACACAGGGAGGTGTATAGTTTGCTATAGACCAAGTTAAACATCCCACCTAAACTAAAGTTACAGATCCATGATAAACACAGGGGTGTGTATAGTTTGTAACAGACCTAGTTGAACATACCACCTAAACCTTCTGATCGGGACATTTGTAGAGAAACACGCCACCTATAATCTAATCCATAAGGCGGGGTCCCCCCCCCCCCCCTCTGTTGCCAGAGAAAGCTGGGAATTATTATCTCGATTTCAGCTTGGCTAGCAGATCAAGGGAGGGAACTGCACTTTCCAAGGGCCTGAATAAAACAGTCGCATTTAATGGCGGTAACTCACATACTAGGAGGCGTAGCTGTGAAAGTTGTGTCTTAATTTTTAATTAAGTCAATTAACCCTTGAATGCTTAATGAATTTCTTGAAATAAAGAACTAACAGCTGCTTTGCTAGGTGATATCGTTCGAATCAAATTACAAGGAATAGATTATTTGCCACCCACACGGCTGTAAGCATACTGTAGCCCCACCCATCCAGCAGCCCCACCCATACAGCAGCCATGCACAACCAGCAGCCCCGCCCATCTAGCAGCCCCGCCCATTCAGCAGCCCCACCAATCCAGCAGCCCCGCCCATCTAGCAGCCCCGCACATATAGCCGCCCCGCCCATCTAGCAGCCCCGCCCATCTAGCAGCCCCGCCCATATAACAGCCCGCCCATCTAGCAGCCCCGCCCATCTAGCTGCCCCGCCCATCCAGCAGCCCCGCCCATTTAGCAGTCCCGCCCATCTAGCTGCCCCGCCCATCCAGCAGCCCCGCCCATCTAGCTGCCCCGCCCATCCAGCAGCCCCGCCCATTTAGCAGTCCCGCCCATCTAGCATCTAGCAGCATCGAGCATTCCCGCCCATACAGCACATTAACTATGCAGCCACAGCAACACCTCCCACCTCCCCCACCTCCCCACACCCCCACACCCCCATCCCACACCCCACGCCGGTATCCCGGCACCTAGCCCCGCTTGGTTTAGAAAACTTCACGCGGACCGCTGCTCTCCCCTCCCCCCCCCCCCCCCTCCCCTCCCCCTCATAAAAACGTCGATTTTGATTAAATCAGCCGGGCCGGTCGAGTCTAGATCGCCTGGCCATGAAGATTAACTTAAACCTAACCCAGTGACCTAGTCCATTTCTCAGTCCCCCCCCCCACCGTCTTCTAGGATCCACCCCTACGGGACCTTGTTATCTAGACCTCACCAAAAATGGTTACCACCCCACTTCCGTTTTCCTGTCGTCTCTCGTGTCCCCGCCTCACCCTCCCCCACATCTTGAAACTTCTTGGGTTCGACGCTCTGAGAGTGACCTCTACCGCTCTCTCTCTCTTCTTCTTCTTCTTCTTTCTTTTATTGACTCTCTATGTTGGCTATAGACGAATTTCACGATAAAATAACTATGTTCACACAGCGACACACAAAAGGTCATTAGTGGACATGAGTGATACACAATGGATACACAAAAGGTACGGGTCAAAATTAGAAAATTAGCGCTATTCTAATGTTGAGAAGCATAAAACTCTGATAAAAGGAAATAAATCTCTAGAACAATGTAATGCTCACCCATTTACCTGTAAGCTACCTATCATTGACAACCTGGTTTTTACAATTAAACAAGTATAAAAGGAAGAGAGAAAAATGTGATCTAGGAGTGCAATAATTGACACCTTATTATTTTATTTTCACCACAGTGAGAAAACGTTATTTTGACACTAAATGAAAACAATTGTTCTGGCCAGTGTGTTGATCAACGTGAACTTATTGCACCTACAAGAAATGTTGGCACAGCAGACGATCTGTACACCACATGCAGACATCCCCCCTCCCCCAACCCATTGTTTCATCTCATAGACAACCTCATCTCCCCCACCATTTTACCCTCCCCTCACACCTCTGCCCATACTCCCCAGAAACCTCCCCACCTCAACCTGACCTCTCCACCCCCACCTCCCAAGTCTACCACCACTCACTAGCTAGTACTCTCTTATCGATTTCGGGCTTAGGTTTAGAATCGAATTTTTTTCCGCACGAAAAAAAAAAAACGAAAAAAAAAACCCACCAGCATTGACCGAGAATTGAAGATTCACTAAAACAAAAAAAAAAATTAACAATTTTGTTGCTATTTATGGTAGGACGGCAGGGGACGGGAAGGACATTTTCTTAGGATTAATTTGCCTGATGGTGTATTGGGAGAGTGGACTTAAAATTGAGTCATTTTAGTCAGCAGACGGCATTTTTTTTGCCGCGGTTTTTGTGGGTCTGAACGCACGACATATTGTGAGGAGGTGAAGTCTGAGCCTGGAGTCTGGTTATGGCTTGACCAGTCCGGCTCATGACGGGTTTAAACGGCTCATTACGGCTCATGCAAACTACAACATTTTTATTTGGTTGACAAAGGACAGAACGACAATTCAAACTTTGATTAACTTTGCCTGGGCTACATTGGGCAACAGTGGGCAACACTAGGAAACAGTGGGCAACGTAGGGAAACAGTGGGCAACGTAGGGAAACAGTGGGCAACACTAGGCAGCACTGGGCAACAGTGTAAAACAGTGGGAAAAAATAGTGGGAAACAGTGGACAATAGTGAGTGGGCAACACTAGGAAACACTAGGCAACAGTGGGCAAAAGTGGGCAACACGAGGAAACAGTGGGCAGCAGTTGCCAACACTGGGCAATAGTGGGCAACATTGGGCAACAATGGGCAACAGTGGGCAACATTAGGCAACAGTGGGAAAAGGATGTGTCTCAGCCAACATTTTTATCAAAAGTGTAATTAATCCAAAGCCCGGAAATCACATCGGTGAGCAGTAAAAAAAATTTAAACTTCATAAAACGGGATTAGCACTTTATGCAAGCTCGCCTTTGATGTGGACAAAAACAAGATGGTTTTTGAATATATCACAACAACCATAAATTGTTTCGTAGGAGTGCCTATAATGTAGAACCTTGTTTTAAAACTTGAACTTTGAAGTACAGCGGAAATGTGCAAACATTTTAAAACAACTTGAATATGTCAAGCATTACAAAATACGTGTAAACACATATGTGGACCCATTACATCATACAACTATGTGTGTGTGCGTGTGTGTGTGTGTGAGAGAGAGAGAGGGAGAGATACTTTACAGCAAAACATATCTGCTATTTTGAAAATCAGAATAAACTACAATAACCCCATTTACGATATAGACACTGCAACAGGTCTACTAGGGGATTCTACTTCACCTGCTCTTGGTGTGCAAGGATCCTTGAAAGGTGTGCATTAAAGTTCCTGTGAGTATTTATGTCTCTGTATTTTGTTTAACACTCTCTGTTTTAGAGTCGTCATCAACTCCAGCAAGACCTGACATCTTTATAGCCCTGACCTTTGGGCGGCCATAACAGCAAAGGTGGGCGTGTCCGAGAAACGAACAACGAACAAAACATTTATCGTCTGGCTCTTCTTACCCCGTGTAACGTATCTCCTAATTGCGCAATCTCGTACATCTGGCATGCATCTTACGGCGCTCTGTGCTGGTAGACGCGAGGAAGACGGAAAAGAATTCTTTTTCTTGCGCGCATGAATTTTTTACTGCTGCGCAAAGGGGACATTTATTTGTTTTCGCTTATTTTATGCAACGGTTATAATTTGATAGATGGTTATGTAAGGGAAAGATAGTATGGCGTATCACTCGTGCCATAAATACTTTAAAAAATATATTGTTGTTGTTTTCTTTTTAAAGGAACATACTATTATGAGGAGGGGTGTTGCTTTAGTTTTCGCATCACCAAATTCAGTGATACTGGGAATAGATTATGACGTTGGAAAATAATTCTGTCCCCCTCAATATTCTCAACGCATTACCCAAATCAGGACCCCATAGCACAACAGTACATATCGACAATATGCTTACGTTGAGATCGTATGTTGTTTGGTGCGGTAGTTTGTTGTAGACTACAGTGGGTTGGGGTATGCTGTTGTTGTATTTTGGTGAATCTTGTTGCAGGTTGTTGTATGTTAAGGTATGTTGTTGTTGATTTCTTGTAGACTTACTTTGATGAAATATTCAACCAGAAAACACGCATGGAACTGCAGATCTAGACCATGTATCGTTTTGTTCTTAGAGCAGTTGTACCACATACACCCAGTTATCTTCACATCGCAGGATCATCACATCCCACACATCAACCACACACTGAGCACAATCTTAAGGCGGAACAACAGGTTCAACATGTTGACCACATAGCCAGTTCAGTGACCGGTGTTATCCACCATTTCATCGTTATTTTATCAACGTATCAACAGTTTAAAGTTCCCCACATAGCCCCCCTGACCCAGTTCAGTGACCGGTGTTATTTTCATCGTTATTTTATCAACGTATCGTCGGGCTGTCTAC